GCAGTGGCTGGACAGCTCTTGGGTCTGTTTCCTGTAGGAGCAGACAGTGGAGGAAGCACTAGTAAGTGACAGGTGGGGAGATCCTGCCCCCAGACAAGTCTCTCTAAGTGCCTAGGTTCAGTTCAGGTAACAGGTGGAGATAAGGTGCTTCAGAAGTAGTCTATAAGACTGGGTTACTGAGACATTCATTCTCTATAGCATATTCCTATCAGTAGCTGAAATTATTTTTATCAATTTACCTGTTTTAAATGCCTACTATGTGAAAAAATACAAACATGATAATGCACATTCTCTTGTATGTATATGAAAACACACTCAGTCACATGTTACCAAGAAAGAAAACTCCTCTGGAAAGGAGCATTGCCTCATTCCCTCTGTTCCTGCTAATAGGACAATGCCTGGCATGTTGAGTGCATTCCTTAGAAACATATATGGGTGATTTTCAACAAATGCTATGAACATTGGCTTGATAAATATTTAATGATTAAGTAAATAGATGAGTAAGATGTGCAGAAAAATAGTTTTTGAATTCTTTCAAATCCCAAAGGCAATGAAAGAAATGTAAATTAATGTCAACGGTTTTTGGTAGTAAATATTAGGCATTTAAAACATAAGTACTGAGTAATCCCCATAATAAGTTGTACTCAATATATCTCATATTGTTAATTAAAAATTAGAGGTAATGCAGAATCAAGCAAAACAAAACAAAAGAACACATATAAATGCAAATTAACATGGAAAAACACACATGTCACTAGTCCTAAAACAGCTTCGTGGATATACATTATCCTCCTTATTCTGTCAACCTCCTACACTATACTGAGAACTTCTCTAGATGATGGCAGGACCTGTCTTGGGTGGTTGCTCACTTCAGGATTGGGTGTCTATTTCTCAATATGTGGAGTCTATTGTAAGAAAAAACATTATTGGTATCTAATCTTATTATTTATTATCACTTCAGACTCTACAGGAAAAATTTAAAAAATAAGGTGAAGAAAGGGAGAAAAGGGGAAAGAGTAAGCAATTGCTTTTGAAATGTTTACCACCATTTATTATCTCATCCTTTCTGGATTTTAGGCAGTTCCTAGCATAGGTTTATGAGCTTTGTTCCTTTTTAGATTTTTGAGCTTCTTTATGTTATTTGACTTTAGTTTAATGGTCAAGTTATAAAAACAATCCCAGTGTTTTCTATTAAGATATGAAATACTGTTTGAAAACAATTGCTCCCACAAGGTAATATGAGAGTATCTGTTCAAAAAATAGATATCCTGTGATCTTTCCACCATGGGCAGTCATCTTGTCGTCATAACCTACTAGTATGTAGTGTTACATGTGCAAGGATATTTATTACAATATTGTTTTTAGAAGGGAAAAATTAAAAAAAACAATTATAAATAATAGCAAAAATTATTATGCAAGCTCCAGTACTTATCTCTTAAGAATGTAACATTGTGGAGTTGTTTTACAGAAGAGTGAGCACTACTTGTGGAACATCAATAATATACTGTTAAGAAAGCCAATGTAACAATAGTAAATATGATATGACCCCAACATTGTAAAACTAAATAAAAAGACACCATAAGATAAATGCTATTATCACTAATATTAGTTTAGATAAAATTCCATGAAAATGGAGAATTAGGAAAAGAGAAACTATCAGTCTATTAATTCTATTTACATCAGAGGAATATGAATAGACAAGTGGTTATGCAATGTCACTAATGTATCTTTATATTTTAATGTTTTCCTTGATTTCAACGAGTAATTAGAGTTTTGGTAATTCAGTGTAACTGAAAACATATTATTTAATTCTATACCAAAAATTAACTAGAGGGAAGAATGTCAATCCCCTAGGGTCAAATATTTGCCATCCTGTGAAGAGAGCAAAAAATATAACACAGCATAAGAGAAGGTGGGGTGGAAATCCCTTTATGTCTCCAGTGCTCTTTGCCCAGAGAGACAACATCACTCATCCCCTTGGGTTCCTTGCATGGTGAGGTTCTTTAGAGTTGCTTAAACTTAGAGTGAACCCAAACCCAACCAGTAGTAATCTGAACCCATGAGTCACATCCTTGAACCCTGAAATGGCTCACAGTCTCCTCCCTCTTCCATGGGGAAGTCCTTCAAAGTCTGAGAAAAACAATGTGTTCACTCTTCCCAGCATTTCTGCAAATTATGATAATTACAAACTGCTGTGCCATGGTTTCAAGTTGTTTCTGCATTTGGGAGCCACAGAGAAATTTGCCAGTGTCACATCTAAAGGCAGCTCACCTGTGACACAGGAACACATTAATCAACTTGGTAATCAAATGTGCATATTTCCAGCATTAAACAGACAATATGTTATAGAAGACAAAAACCACTGAAGATTGTTGGAAGAGTCCAAGCAATAAGTGATCTTTCCTGAACCAAGATGAGGGTGGGAAGGAAAGACTAGAAGGAACTAATTCCATGGTTTCTGGTACAGACATAGAACTTACTACTACATTGGAACTGGAGGGAGAGTGAAATGGAGATGTGAATGTAGATCGAGAATAAGTAACTGAGCAACAACAGTGGCATTAACTGGGATGGGGATTAGAAAAGGGAGAAAAGGGTAGAGGCAGATTAAAGGGGTGAAATAAAATACTCTACTTTGAAAACAAATTTGGGTTGTCCATTATACACTCAAGTGATGGTCCAGTAGCAATGAAATACATGAGATTGGATTTAAGGTCAGAGATAAGATATGGACTTTATACTGGGAGCTATCAGTGAAATAGTATCATCTAAGGCCTGGACCCCAATGAGATTAGTGAAGGAAAGAGCTAAGGAAGAATAGAGAGTCTAAAATTTAGATATTGAATGAAGAAGTTGCAAGAATAATAATCAGTAAATTAGAGTGACCATGAGGAGAAAACAAAAAAAAGAAGATAGACAGCTGAAGGTTTCTCTTTTTCCAGTGAATTTGTGTGAAGATTATCATTTGTATGTATCATGTGTTTAAATATCAATGAGTGGGAGAACAAGAAATTTGTAAGATATTATGTTAGAGACAGGGCAAGAGCACATGTGAGAGAAGCACACTACAATATGGGGCCAGTGTGAAGGATCCATCAGAGATTGGATCACAAATTCAAAGAGACTAGCAGGATAATTTCACATTATAACAAGATACAGTACTTGTCCATGATTCAGCAGTCCTTGCCTAGTCCTGTGCAGGCAGTGGAGTGTTAGGTAGTTGACTCAACTATTCCTCTCATTGACAGATAAAGAAGAAACCAGGGAATTGAGTGTACTTGAAGGGGGAGGATATTAATTGGGCATCATGCTGTCTAATCAGGGTAAGAAGAACATGTGAAATCCTGAGAAGATTGGAAGAATGAAAAACTGATAAGGGAAAACATTTGGAATATGCATGAGGATGAAATAGCTGGAAAAGAAGCATAATGAATATGTGCCACACGAAGAAGAGGCAACAGTCAGAGAAGGAATAATGCAAACAAGATCTCAAGCTGGACAGTTAGTGATGGTCAATAGTGTGGCCATCCAGGGATATGGGATGTAAGTGTAGTGTTTCCAAGAGAGAAAGTCAGGAATGGAGTCCAGTATGTTATCTCAGTTGTGTGCAAGTTTCCTGGCAGCACCAGGTACAGGCGACAGAGGAGCCTAGTGAGTCTGGGATTGCAGCATTCCTGGATGCTGGGAGCAACCTGGCTAAAGAGTGACACCAGTTGAAGTAGTAGTTGGCACTACTTCATGGAACAAATTTTAAGCACATGGACATGGAGAAAAAATAATATAAATTGTTGAAAATGACAATGGAAAGTAGGAATATTTTTATTCTAAGATTCGACCCAGAAATATTTTTTTGAAAGGGAAACACATTGCCTCCAGATGATAGATATCATTGTTTTCAGAGGACAGCCAGTTTTTTTTTTATTGAAACATGAAACTGAAGCACACCTCGTAGATCTTAAGAAATTGGAAGACAATAGCCTCCAATTTCTAACAGGTCCCATAGAATGTGTTCTGGGAAAGGGATGAAGTGGTTCATTTGCAGTAGCATATGGATGAAGGCTCAGAGGAGGCATATCAACATCTGGGACTGTGAGGAGATGAATTCAATAAGAAAATAAGGGGAGACAGGCCCCTCATCTCACTGCAATTCCCCATAATGTGGCAGACAAGAAGATTAACAGACAGCTTTTCAAGAGAATTGGTATTGGGACCATGGAGAGGAGTTGAATTCTTCTTATCCATCCAGATAATCAGGCATCACTCTCCCCAGCTTCTTTCTACTCTGCTCATGATGAAATTTTATCAATACCTCAAGGTCACCAGACTTCTCACACCTCAGTATTTACACTGACCAAATGCTCATATTACTGTCTTCATTTGACATCTACTTCCTTCAGTGGTCTCAATCTAAATGTTATTTCTCTTTTCCTCAAATTTAACTATTTACATAGCACCTTCCACTCCTTTATGACACATTTATGGTTGGTATGTTTCATCAAGCTGGAGGGTAAACTTCATGAGGACATGGAGAGTATTTTCTTCTTGTCTCTCCTCCTTATGACTCAAATTAAATTGATAGATGAAATTCACTCAGTTACTTATAATCAACAATCTGAACTGAGAGTTTTTCTTACTGATGTAGATGGATTTTTGAGTAAAAGATAATCTACTAGTATTGGATACCCCAAGTTGTCCCTCACTCTCTAGACTGTATGGAGTGGATGAAGTGCTTACTCCTAACATTAATTTGCACATCTGGATTAAATGATCACCATGTACGTATACCTTCACATGTAATGAAGGTTAAACCACTCAACAGTTTGCTGAGTGGTTTAACCTTCATTACATGTGAAAAAATTTAAAAAAAACACTATGACAGGGCCTAGCAAGTGATTTATATATTTGGTGTCAAATTCCTCACTCTACTAAGGAAATAGAGAGTAATTATTATGGTGTAAGACTGCACTAGCCATTTGCTGACACAGTTTTTTAGAGGGTAAGTTCATGCTCAATTTAATACTTATGGCATTTTCCACATTAATGGCTGTCAGAACAGGTTTACTTAATTCTGTCATTGAAAGAAGATTGTAAATTGTAGATAAAATAATCTGTATTCAAATTTGTAACTCATAGACTTATTTAAAATTATTCTCTTGGCTTAAAAATATGATATTTATCTAACAACTTACAGAGTGAGGACACAGGAATAGGGAGTAAGTCACCTGAACACATGATATAAGCTTCCTCCTTTGCAGAGCAAGATCTCTGTTTCCAGGGGTCAGAAGGACACTGCCAGAGAGAGGTGTCTGTTTTCCTACACTGGATTCCATCCAACCAACGGGGTCTAGAACCTTCCCTTAGAGGAACAGAAGAGTTGAGAGTCCCAGTGTCCCCACAGCCAAGCTGTCTGCAGATCACGGACAAGGTCACAGCTTCCATGGGGCTGTGGCAGACACTGCCCCAGGTGTTGTTGTAGAAAACCTCCAGCCACCCAGCACACTCCTGGTCCTCGCTCATCAACCTGAGGGCCAGGAACTCTGAAACCAAGAGGAGGAAAACAGGACACAGTGAGTATTTAACACTTAGTGCTGCTTTTCTTTACCCCTACGTAGTGAGTGCTCCTTGCTAACTTTGCTGATGAAATGCCCACCAGGAGAAAGACAAAACTTCTATCCATTTAGCTGTTTTGATAACTTGTATGTATCTTCGTAGTTCTATGACAATGCTGTAGTGGAAAATGTACAGGCAGGAACACTGAAGTGGGACTCTTGAAGGGAGGGAGTAAAAGCTACCTGACTAAATATTAGACAGACCCTGGGAAAGGGGAGATGGAAAATGATGTGGCATAACAGTGAAGTCCCAGATATGTCACTTCCTGATGCTGGAGCTTGTGAATAGGTTACTTTTTGAGGCAGAGGGGATTTGCAAACATGATCAGGATGAGGATTTTATAATGGTGCAATTTTTTTAGATTATTTCAGATTAACCATGTCAGCTCATTCTAACCACATCCTTTGATCTGTATTCTTACAAGCAGACAATGTTTTCTGACCCTGGTCAAAGAGAAATGTGAAGATGAAAAAAATGGCCAGAAGTATGCAAGGTGGTTGAGTTCAATAAGGAAGGAAAATGCATTTAATGCTGGAAAAGGAAAGGAAATGACTATTCCCAGAGCCTTGGCTTAATGTAGCTCACTGACACATTGTTTATAGCTCAGGTGAACTGGGATCAGACCTGAGCTCATTTTGTTCTAAGACACTAACTCTGTGATAATGTATTATAGCAGCAATAGGAAACTAATACAGTGGGTCTCAGGATGTTGCACACACGGTAACTGAAGCATGAGGTCTGCAGTCAAATGGACACTGAAGAGAATGAATGTCAGGAATTAGGGATAAGAAGAAAGGAGCAGAAACTCAGCTGCTGCAGAGGAAATGGAAGCATCTTCTCTTTTCTGCTAGAGGGACAGGCACTGTGGGATGAGCCTCCACCCCTTCCACCCTGCCACCAATTTTCCCTCCTCTGCCCTAAGGCTCAGATACCATCCTGTATATGCTCCTCATTTCTTCTACCTGTACCCATTGTGCCCCACAGACCTGAGCAGATGACCCCAGCATCTTCCTTGTGTCTGCAGTTGTGCTGCCCCCAGCCCTGGGAAGGGCACTCCCACACATGTGCCTCTTCTCCTGTGCAGTTCAGCTCATCTAGCCAGATGGGCCCTGATCCCTCTCCAAAGTGAGCAGAGATGGTGGCCTCCAGGGCCACTCCACAGCCCAGCTGTCTGCACACCACGTGGGCATCACTCAGGTCCCAGTTGTCATCACAGATGGAGCCCCAGGAGCCCTGCTGCAGGATCTCCACTCTCCCTGCACAGCGACTGCCCCCGTCCACCAGGCGGAGCTGTCTGCTGTCTGAGGAGAGACAGGGTCATGTCAGTGGGCATTTGCTCAGGAAATGGGAAGAAGGCTCTGTTGCTGGAGGCTTTGCTCACCTGAGCAGTTGGCAGTGTGGCCCTCTGAGGCTGCAGAGACTGCTGGGTCAGACCAGGAGTTATTGCACTGGGGCAGCATCTGGCTCTGGTTACCTACAGATGGGAGTAAAGAGAATGAAACCAAACTAAGGAACATAATAATCTCGTGATGGCATTTGAATTCTGTAGGACAAAATCAGTAATTTCCCATGTTCACAACTGTTCTCCTAATGGAGATTTCTGCTTCTAACTCTGACATTTTGGGGCTTTATGTTAAGCACTCAGATTAACTTTAGAAAAGTGGAATATATTAATTCTTCTTGAAAACATTGCACAGCTCCCAGGACAGCTAGATTTTAGGAGTACAGTGAAGAGAAAAGTAAAAAGTCGGATTAGCTATTTTTTCCTTGGAGGCACTTGCCATTCCAAGTTAGGAGGTGAAACTGAAAATCTCAGCATGTTTGCCAGATTGCCTTGGCCATACAGAAATATAATTTAGCTTGGACTAAAAAGGATAAATCATGTTAAACAACCAGGAAATTTGTATCTTATTTTGTGGAACAAAAAGGACTTTTGTCACAGGGATGGAACCCAGTTTCTCAAAACTTCACTCTTTTTTATATAACGTGATCTACCTTAAATATAGTACATGGAAGAAGCAAACTAAAATCCTTTCTGAAGGTTTTTTATAGTTTCTGAAAAACAATGTTGATACAAAATACCTCATGAAATAGAGTGTAGTAGAGAACAAAGAAGAAAAATGAGAAAATATGGGAAATATTTTTACATAATTACTATTGGTGTTTCCTTATAGGTAATTTAAATAATCATAATTAAATGCTCTATTAAATGGCATGATGTGCATCTTGGCAGAGAAATAATCACAAAAATGTAGTAAAATTCGAGAGTTAAAAATTCAAGAGCTAAATATAAGAACTGAGAGATGAGTCAAAAAGATAAGATTATCACAGAATAGAATTGCAAAGTAAAAAAAAAACATAGAAAAATACTAAGAGTAAAGCACAGAAAGATAAGAATAGAAACTATAAACAGGGACTTGAGAGACATGGTGAGAGAACCTAACATTCCTATGTAATCTTAAAGTTTTAGATATTTTTGGCCACTATGATGGTGGTAAATGTACAACTTAGAAAATACACAAAGTCAGATATTCAATACACACATAGCTTTAAAAATGTTCAGAAAATTTGTCATGCTCTATCCAATTACCTGTGAAATCCATTGTTCCTTCCCTTGAATCTGGGCTGACCATGGTGAGTGGTCTATAAGCAATAGAATGTAGTGAAGCCTACATGGCTTAACAAAGAAACCTAGCTTATAAAGTCATGCCTCCTTCTCTTTAGGATGTTTGCTTTATGGCATATCTACTGCATAGAGACTATCATGTGGGAGAGAACATTTGCAGGTGGTTCTGTCAATAGCCTTAGTTGAACTTCAAGCTGCCAGCCCTGTGAATGAACTATCCTGATTTTAAGCATGGTCAAGACTTCAAGTGATCTCAGCTCCAGATGACATTCAAGTGTAACCTTATGACAGAACCCAAGAGGCAACTGCAAAGAGCCCTTCCCAAATTTATGAGTCAGATAATGATCAGAAAAAATAAAATATATTTTTCATTTGTGTTGCTCTTTCGTGCTTGCTTTCATTCTTTCAAATACCTAACATACAGAATAAGGATAGAATTTCTTTTATTTATTTATTTATCTATTTATTTATTTCATACATGACAATAGTGGAATGTACTACATTCATAATTATCCATTCACAGCACAATTTTTCATAACTCTGTATATAAAGTATGCTCACACCAAATTATGCTATTATATACAAGCTCTCTTATTGATTTTTTTTTGCATTACGATTCTTAATACACCTTTATACCACAATTTATCATATCTCTGTTTGTAATAAGGTATGTTGACACCAAATTCACATCTTCATACATTAGAATTTCTAAGGCTGCAAGAAACAAATGTCAGATTATATTTAGAAGGAAAACAATTTTCATCTCAGCTAATTTCTCAACCCAGACCCCCAAATCTAGGAGGTCTTGGATTAATGTATATGAAGTCTTCAAAGACGATGGATGTCAGCCAAGAATACAATACCCAGCAAAATTAAGCTTTATATTTGAAGATGAAATCAAAACTTTCTATGATAAACAAAATTTAAAATAATTCACTACTAGGAAGCCTGCATTGCAGAACATTCTTAGAAAAATATTCTACAAAGAAGAAATGAAAAATAAAACTGTAAAACAGCAAAGGGAGGAAAGAGAGGATAATCTAAGTTAAATTAAAAACCAGAAATGAAACAAAATAGTTGGGAATATAAATCATAACACAATAATATCTTTGAATGTAATTAGCAAAACTCATCAATTATAAGGCATATACTGGCATGTTGGATTAAAATAACACAACCCAGCACTATGCCCTCTCCAAGGGGCTCACCTCACAGGCAAAGACATTCACAGACTAAAAGTAAAAAGAAGGGCAAAATTATATCACTCACATGGATCATGTAAACAAGCAGGGATTTCTGTCCTCATATCAGATAAAGTGAACTTTAAGCAAAAGCTAATCATAGGCACAAAGAAGGACATTTCATACTTCTTAAGGGAATGATACATATGCAGGACATTGCAGTTGTAAATATTTATGCCTCAAACAATGGAGCATCTATGTACATGAAACAAATTCTTCTCAATTTCAAGAAAGAAATAGAACACAATACAATAATACTGGTTGAGTATAACATACCTCTATCACCACTAGATAGATCCTCCAAACAAAATTAACGAAAATATAGAAGTAAATAATACAATCAATAGTGTAGATACATATATGGACTATTTCATCTATCAATGATCTACGACACTTTTTTTCCCAGCAGCACATTAATCCTTCACTAAAATAGACCATATCTTATGCCACAAAGCACCTCTTAGGAAATGCATAAAAATAGAGAGAATGCCTTGCATTCTATGCAATCATGATGGAATAAAAACAGAAATCAATGATAAAATTTTAAGAAAATAGAAGCTACTCTAACACCAGAAGAGTAAATAATACACTAAGGAATGACCAATTGATTGAAGAAAAAAAACAGGACTGAAACAAACAAACAAACAAACAAAAATACATAGGGGAAATGAAAATAGTGTCACAACATCAAAAACTATGGAACATTATGAATGCAGTACTAAGAGGAAATTTCATTGCTTTGAGTTTATTCACTAAAAGAATATAAAGTCAACAAATAAATAATCTAACATTACATCTCAAAGCCCTAGAGAAAGAAGAACAAATCAACATCAAATACAGTAGAAGACAGAATAAAGTTAAAATTAAAGCTAAAATAAATAAAATCAAAACAAAAGAAATAATTCAAAAAATTGACAAAATGAAAAGTTAGTTCTTTGACAAAAATCAACAAAATTAATAAACCTTTAGCTACTCAGACAAATAGAAAACAAATTATTAAAATTTGTGATGAAAAATATATATCACTGAAATACAGATAATCAGAAACTATTTTGAAAATTTATAGTAAAAAAAAGAAAAGAAAATCTTGAAGACACTGAAAAATTTCTAGAGACATATGACTTACCCAAACTGAATCAGGAGGACATACACAATGTGAACAGATCAATTTCAAGAATTGAAATAGAAGTCACCATGAAAAGCCTACTAATCAAGAAAAGCCCAAGACCAGTTGTATTCTAAGCCAAGTTCTACAAGACCTTGAAAGAAAATGGATATCAGCCAAGAATACAATAAACACCAATAGTCCTCAAGTTATTCCATGAAATACAAATGAAGGGAACACTTCCAAACTCATTCTATGAAGATACTATCACCCTGATAGCAAAATCAGACAAAGACACATTAAGGAAAGAAAACTTCAGACTAATACCCCTGATGAACATAGATACAAAAGTTCTCATTAACATTCTGGAAAATCTCATACCAAAATATTAAAAACAGTGCAACATGATCAAGTGGAGTTCATCTCAGGGATGCAAGTTTTGTTCAACCCACAGGAATCAATAAATATAATTCAACACATTGATAGACTTAAAGAGAAGAATTATATGATCATCTCAACATATGCAGAAAAAGCATTTAACAAAATATAGCACACCTTCATATACAAAACAGTAGAAAAACTAGGGATAGTAGGAACATACCTCAACATTGTAAAAGCTGCATATGCTAAATCCAAGGCCAATAACCTTCTAAATGGAGAAAAAGTGAAAGCATTTTCTCTAAGAACTGGAATAAGACAATGCTCTCTTTTGCCACTTGTATTCAACATTGTCCTTAAAATTCTAGCCAGAGCAATTTAAGAAGAAATAAATTAAATGGATACAAATAGAAAAGGAAAAACTCAAACTATCTCTTTTTGCTGATGACATGATACATATTTAGAAGACCCAAAAAATTCCTCCAGAAAACTTCTAGAATTCAGCAAAGTAGAAGGATATAAAATTAACACCCACAAAAATCAATTGCTTTCCTATACATTAGTGGTAAATCCACTGAAAGAAATTAGGAAAACTACACCATTCATAATGGCCTCAAAAAATTAAAATATTTGGGAATCAATATAATGAAAAAGATGAAAGACCTCTACAATGAAAACTATAGAACATTATAGAAAAACATTCAAGAACACCTTAGAAGACTGAAGGATCTCCCGTGTTCATGGATAGCAGAATTAACATTGCCAAAATGGCCATACTCTCAACTGCTCTACACAGATTTAATGCAATTACCATTAAAATTCCAATGGCATTCTTTATTGAAATAGAAAAATCAGTCATGAAATTCATTTGGAAAAATAAGAGACCCAGAATAGCCAATGCAATCCTTAGCAATAAAAATAAAGCTGGAGCCATCAAAATACCAGACCTTAAATTAAATTATATTATAGAGTTATAGTTACAAAGAGCAGAATAGTGTTAGCACCAAAACAGACAGGTAGACCAATGGTACAGAGTGAAGACATAGAGACAAAACCACATATATACAGTTATCTCATACTAGACAAAGTGCCAAAAATATACATTGGAGAAAAGATAGCCTTTTCCAAAATGGTGTTGGAAAACATAAAATTCATATGTAGCAAAATATATTGGAGCCCAACTCTTTCACCCTGCACAAAACTCAAAGTGGATCAAGGACTTAGGCTTGAGACCTTAGACCCTGTTCCTAATAAAAGTAAAAATAGGCCCAAATCTCTGCCATGTCAGCTTAGACACTGACTTTCTTAATAAGACTCCTAAAGTGCAGGAAGTAAAATCAAGGAACCACAAATTGGATACATTCAAGCTAAAAAGCTTCTTCTCAGCAAGGAAACAATCAAGAATATGAAGAGAGAGCCTACAGATTAGGAGAAAAATAATTGTCATCTGCATTGATCTCCAGGATATATAGATATATCAGAAATTTAACACCTCCCCCCAATAACCCAATAGATAAACTGGCTAAGGTACTGAACAGCCACTTCACAGGAGAAGAAATACAATTGGTCAACAAATATATAAAAAAATATTAAACATCTCTAGTAGTTAGAGACGTGCAAATTAAAACTACACTGAGATCTCGTCTTACTTCATTTGCAATGGCAATTAACAAGAATACAAGTAACAATAAATGCTAGCAAGTATTTGGGGAGAAAAGTTCACTCATACAATATAGGTGAGACTCTCTATGCATAGTGGTATAGAGATTCCTCAGAAAACTTGGAATGGAATCACCATTTGATTCAGTTATCCCACAACTCAGCATATACCTGAAGGTCTCAAAATCAGTATGCTATAGTGACACAATACATCAAAATTCAGAGCAGCTCCATTAACATCTAGGTTGGAAGCAACCTAGATGTTCTTCAGCAGATGAATGGTTAAAAAAATGGTAAAATGGTACATATATATACACATTGGAATAATTCTCAACCATAAAGAAGAATGAAATTATGGCATCTGCCAGTAAATGATTCAACTGGTGACTATCATGCTAAGTGAAATAAGCCAATCCCCAAAAAACAAAGGCCAAATGTTTTCTCTGATATACAGATGATAATTCACAATAAAGTGGATGGGTGCTATGAAAGAATAGAGTTACCTTGGATTATAAAGGGGAAGGGAGGGGAAATTGTATAAGGGTAGGAAGGATAGTAGAGTGAATCAGACATTATTACCCTATGTGCATTTATGATTACATGACTGTTGTAACTACACATCTTGTACAACCAGAGGAATGAGAATTTATACTCAATATATTAAAATGCATTCTACTATTAAGCTATTAAATACTATTCTAGCTATTAAGAACAAATAATAATAATTTTAAAAGTTTGAAGCAAATTTGGTAGCAGAATTTTAAGATTTGAGAAAACATTGAAGAAGGTATTTGGGTGTTCTGTATGCTTAAGCTATATAGGAAATAATAAACCTACAGCCTTTGTCAATAAAAAATTCCTCTGAATAATCCTTGACAGGGTCTGAAATATGAATGATCATTGAAAAGAGTCATATTTCACCAAGGAATGTCTCATATTTCTGCTCTGCTCTCCATGCTGTCTGCTCTTAGAGACATGTCACTCAAGGGGAAAACTGAGTAAAATCCAGCCCTGACCTCTCTTACCTGAGCAGACCACAGAGGCTGTGTTTCCATGGGCACAGGCAGGAACACCCAGGACAGTCACAGGGCAATTCCACAGGAAGGACTCAGATCCTGAGCAGTAGAATCGGTCTCTCCAGATCTCATCTCCTCCTTCCACAAAGTATGCCCCCTTTGGGGTGGAGATGGCGACTCCACAGCCCAGCTGACGGCAAACTACATTGGCATTGGCCATATTCCAGTGGGAGGCACAGAGTGTTCTCCAGCCTCCAGAGGTCTTCATCTCCACTTGACCCTCACACTGAGAGCTGCCATTTTTCATGAGCCTGACTTCTGTGTACTCTGGCAGGAGAAGACAGGATTCCAGTAACACCTCACATTTGTTACCACATCGCAGTGTGCAGAAAGGTTAAAGTTCTGCTGTGAGTCTCACCTGAGCAGACAACTTTCACAGCCCCTCTGTGTGGGCAGCTGCCTGCAGGACAGGGCACTCTGGGGCAGAACCAGAGCTCAGACTCCCATCCCTTACACTGGAACTCTTCAGCCCAGACCTGTTCTTTGGCCTCTCTGAGGGGCAGGTCCAAGAGAAAAGATGCTGCCTTGCCACACCCCAGCTCTGCACAGATGACCTGGGCAGTGGGTAATGTGAAATTCCCAGGCACTGGAGTCCATCCTCCTCCAGAATTCACTTCCACTCGCCCAGAGCAAGGTCCACCTCCTCCATTCAAACGCACAAATCCTGTGGAAGAAAATAACCAGTACAATTAGTATCTAGGGTTGGAATTGGGAGCTACATGTCTCAGGAGAACTTTAAAATATTTTTTTTCCCAGGAATGAATTCAATGGTGTCAGAATGGAGATTGCATGAGCAAGTGTCTGAAGACAACTTTAGGAGGAGAAATTTGTAAGACTGTTCTAAATGGCTGACTCCATAATATAAATATATATATGTATATATTTTATATATATGTATATATATATGTATATATACATATATATTACAATATATCTAACTCTGTGTCTGTTTGTGTGTGTCAATCTAACTTGTTTTTTAATAAACCTATATCTATCCTCTGAATTTCAACTCAGTGTAGAAAAAGACTAGGATTAACTTTTCACTATTTTATCCTCAGAAACTTTCAGTTCACGGGTAATAATTCCAACTAAGTTAACATTTGTTAAAGAATGAAAAAATTCAAAATGTATCAAAAATTACAATTTATATTAATTTCCCATTTATAGATGAGAAAAGAGCCCACTAAATATTGTGAGACAGAGATGGAGAGTAGGTAATGGTGACTAAGATAATCTGGCTTCTTTACACCATCCTTCCTATTAAAGAAGACAGAGAATTTTGAAGTAGCATCAGCTGGGTGATGTGGCATATGCCTGTAATCCCAGTGGTTCTGGAGGCTGAGGCAGGAGGTTCTCCAGTTCAAAGCAGCCTCAGCAATAGGAAGGCACTAAGGAACTCATTGATCAGTCTGTTGCCATCTAAATAACATACAAAAAAATGGTTGGGGATGTGGCTCAGTGATTGAGTGTCCTTGAATTCAATCCCTAGTACCTCCCACCCCCGAAAGAAGTAGGATCAGAAGATTTGAGCATGCTCCTTTGCCTTTTTGTTTTGTTTCTAGGGGTCATTTTGTTACTAATAAGCACATTTGGAAGAAGCCATTAGACATCTAATGAAGTTGATCAGGAAGTGATTTTGAGTATGGGTTCAGACCTTTGGGTAGGCATCTGACTACAGATATGGCATGGTAATATAATAGTAGGTTGATGTCCTGAAGAAGGGAATCCTTTCTCTGGAAAATAACATGTTCAATAATTTTTCTTTTCAAAGTAAGCCATCAAATGGAATTTACCCAGTATGAGTAGAAATGCCTCCAATCGGGAAAGGATAAAATGCAGCAGAGAGGTTTTCAAAGGAGACACAATCTGAACTTTCCACTCAGGCCTGATATAGGAGAGAGGTGTGCAATGACAATATTGAGAGTGTGCTTCCTTGTTTTGATATTCAGAATACTAACAGGTTTTCAGAATTTGTCATGTTCCAGATGTGTTTCTAGGTGCTGTGTGTATATTTAAAGAAAACAATGTCATTCTCTTTTCAGAGCTTTACATACAGTGGGGGAGAAAAACAGTTTTAAGCCATTTGAAGTTTGTGAGCCACTGAGTAGAAAAAGAAAGAAAAATTGCATCTACAGAAATCTATTGATTAATATGAATCATTCTCACTCAAATAATTAAAAATCACAGCCATATGTATCTTTGTCTGAACTTTTGCTCCATAGACACATTGCTCCCCTGGGCACGTTTCAAGTTTCTTATGAAAATATCATCCAATGGATCTTTTCTTTCTCTATTCTGACCTTCTCAATACCTCGGCTTGAGTCACTCTTGCAAATCATTTTCATCCTTTTGTGCAGGAGGGGTGTACTGAGTTCACACAATGTACACAGATCGCCCTTCCTACTCCAGGGCCTTAAGTGCTTCAGGAGTAATCCTTATGTGCTTTTTGTCAACCTTTGAAGGCCATCCCCCAGATACTGTAAGCTTCTTCTGTCTTCTTCAGAAAATTCTATTTGCCTTCCAGTCTCATTCTTATCACATTTATCTGACAATATATTCTTCTTCTTTCATTGTTTCCATTAGATATAAGCAATATAATTTCCCCCATATCTTGTCACTTGTATATTTTGCTTCATTTTCATCTAAGTAAATTTATACTAACTGATACCCACTGATATAATGTACATATTAATTGAGTAAATTCATGTGCTGATGTAAGTATATATTGCATTTCTTTGTCTCCTCAAATCTTCATTTATTTTTGGTAAAAGCTTCCAAAACACTTTCTTGTAGCTTTTTAAAATGTAGTTCATTATTATTTTCTATAGACATCCTACTGTGCCATGGTGCACCAAAACTTCTTGCTTCTATTTAAGTAAAACCTATTATTCATTGATCAGTCAGTTGCCTTCCAATTCCCATTCCCTACCCTCTCAAGTCTATGGTAACCACAATTCTACTCTCAACATCTATGATGTCAATTCTTTTATATTTGATATACAATTAGATTATAAGATACTTGTCTTTTTTTTTGCCTGACTTATTTTACTTAACCTAGTGATCTCCTGACCCATGCATGTTATGTGGAATGAAAGGATTTGATTCATTTTATGGCCAAATAGTATCCTATTGCATTTAATTTATTTGTCCATTTATCAGCTGATGGATTTTAGATTATGTCCATTTCTTAGCTACTGTAAATAGTACTGCCATAAATATGGGAGTACAGATGTTTCTTCAACATAGAGATTTCACTTTCTTTGGACATATGCTCAATATTGGGATTACTGTATTATATGGTAATTTGTGGGGGTGTGCAGGATGCCTGATAATGTGTTTGTACCTCATTTATTTCTAAGCATAGATTTGCTGGATTCAGTATTCTTGATTAGCAGGTTTTTCTTCAGTTCTATTAAAATCTCATGGCACTCACTTCTGACCTGTATGTTTACCTATATGAGAACTCTGCCATGAGGTGAATTGGAACATTCTTATATGTTATTTCTTTTTTTTTGTCTTGATGCCTTGGAGTCTTTATCTTTCATCTTTGAGAGATGTACTGCAATATATAGAGATAAGAACCAGTCTATTGCCTTCTAAATAAAATACAACTCCTCAACTAACTTTTCACCTTTACACAAGACTTAATCTTCTTTATATTGTACTCACAGGGTTTGAGGAAGAATGAGGTGGGAAGTCCTGTGGCCACCAACACTGCAATTCTGTGTCATACACTGAGGCCACAGCCTGCTAAGGCAAAACAGAAGTGGGGAGGGATGAAGAACCTCAATTCTTTGAGCTGCCTACTGCTGAGGTGGACTCAAGGCTCCAGACTCCTGCAATCAGCCACAGGCTCTTGTTGAGTCTGTCCCAGCAGCACACAGGTCTTGCTCTTTTATATCTGTTTTATATCTGAGGCCTCTAATTCCTACTCAGCATTATGTATGATCATTATTTGCCTGGCACTGAATTCCAAGTCAACGTCCTGTGCCAGCAAGGTGCCCTGATCCTTAGAGAGTCTTGCTCTTACCTCTTCTGCTAAAGGTTGGAGAAGTGGTGGTGGAGACAGTCTCTTTGCTGCCCAACACAACTGAGTTCCAGAGTCTCAGTGTCAGTTTACTGGCATGGGAACAGGGTTGTTGGGCTCTGTTGGAACCCAGGTTTCACTGTGGCAGGCCTAGTCCTGGGTTTCAAGTCTAAGGTCAGGGCTAAGTTCCCTTTACATTCCCCCAAAAGTATGCATTTCTCTTTATCCTGGGCTGCCTGAGGTTGGGGAAAGGGCAAGTCTTATCTTCCTTCCTCCTTCAATGTGTCTTTATTTTTTTAGTCATTGTAAAAGAATGGACTCACCTGCTTTACTATCTCTTATGAAGTCAGTTTGGTGTGTGAATTACAGTTATTGTGATGTATTTGTGGGAGATCACTGAACAACCATCCTGATCTGAGTCCTATATTATACAACATCTTACCATAATGGATATGCATTAATATTTTGTTTCATCCAACACTGATCTGCCAGCACAGGACTAAATTCATCTCCCACATATGAGTTTATACAGATGTTGCTTTAGGAAAGAAATGTAGAGAGAATCTGTTGTGGTAATGATGGAAGGAAAACCTGTGTCTCAGAACATTTACCCACAGTTCTGTGGCCTTTCCTGCCAATGAGCTGATAATTCTGATGTCTGAATTTTGAAAGGAGAATTGCAATTTTGTGGTAATCCTTAAATTCCCCTATGATGTGTTTAATCCAATCCCTGTATCCATATACCTACTAACCCAGGGAAGAATTATCTCTGGCTATACATATATGAACATTCAATTCAACTGAAAAAAGTAATCCCCATTCTTGTCTATCTTTTGAAAGAGGATATGTATGGTAATTTATAAATAAACATATAAATAGTAAATTATAGAAACAAAATTATGAAGATGATTTTAAGTGAAATGATTCTACAAAAACCTATCTTTTTGAGTATGACTGCAGAGAATGAAAAGGACAGTATATGAGATTTACAAGAAATAATTAAAGCCCATTACCCACTGCTATTTTGAACACCCAGGGTCCATGGGGAACTCTGAGTCCTCTACGGCTCACCTGTCTCTTATTTTCTCTAGAATCAAACACACATTTTTGGTCCCTTCCATTCTCTTAGACAGTGGAGAATATGCAGACCATACCTGAACAGATGACACCTGCATCTACAGCGTGTATGCAGTTGTGTTGTCCCCAGCCTAGAGAAGGGCACTTCCATACTTGGTCCTCCTCTCCTGTGCACTTCAGGTCATTCAGCCAGATGGGCCCTGACCCCTCCCCAAATTGTGCATAGTCCATGGCATCGAGGGCCACTCCACAGCCCATTTGTCTGCACACCACATGGGCATCATTCAGGTCCCAGTGGTAGCCACAGACAGTGCCCCAGGAATGCTGGTGAAGGATCTCCACTCTGCCTGCACAGCGACTGCCTCCATCCACTAGACGGACCTGTGGAGTCTCTGAGGAAAAGAATCATGTCAATAGTTTTATTTACAAAGAAAAGGAGAAGGGTATTCTTTTCCTCTGGTACTTCCTCTCCTAGCCAATTAGTTTGCAGAATCCACTTTCAGACTGCAAAACTTGCTGTGTAAGACATGAAATTGTTTATACCAGATTAGTAGCTAAATTTCAATTCATACCAAACAAGTAGGAGTATTAATTATGTAAAAAACAAGAAATGAGTTTAAACACAATATAATCTAGTTACAATCTCAAGTAGACATTATGAGGTGGTTGCTATCAGAGTTAAACCTAATATTTGCAGAGATCTTCACAGGATCTGATAACACACTTCTAGAAATGTCAGGTTTCCTATCTTGAGTAGATAAACGTGTCTTTTTCTGAATGATTTCTAAAAGTCAATAGGCCAGCATCTTGTTGGTTCTTATAGAGCACACAATTGAGTGCCAATGGCTGGAGATGTGGAAGGACCAGAGCACAGGGGATAGAGTAAGGAGATAAAATGTGAGATCATCAGGAACCTCAGGTGACAGCCATGAATCCAGGATAAATAATAATCATTTATATATATATAAATGATTTTAGGTCCCTGGGCCACCCTGCCACAGTGATTGGGTGTAAGTTAGTGTTCTTATGATTATATATATATATATATTATATATTATATATATATTATATATTATATATATATATATAATCATAAGACTGAAAAATAAATGGACCATGGCTTGCTTCCAAATATTTCACTAATGATTCTAGGCTTCACAGTTCAGATTGGACATGTAATGTCAAAACTTGACTCACTTTAGGTAGATTGAGCAAGTTGTCAAAAAAGATGATTTCAGATATTGACATTGCTCAACATCGCTAGGTATCATAAAATGTTACCCTTTTCCACAAATTCTTCTTTCAGGAGTTGTTACTATTCAAAAATAGGAGGTAAATGGCAGAAAAGAAGTAACTTTGTTGTGACTCTGTCAGTGAAAAATGTTAGGAAACAAAGGGATATTTGTACTTTGAGAAGAGATATAGAGGAACTAGAAACAACAGGGAGAAGGAGAAAGGCAGCCCAGAGAAAATTATAAAGCAAATGACAACTTCATCTCCAGCTTCCTGGGTGAGGGAGGCAATCTGCAAGCATAAAGTAAACTGGAGAGTATAGACAGCCTAGATGGTGTCTTACCTGTGGGAGAAACACATGGTTCTTACAAGCTTTAGATCAAATTTAGGGAATTGTTCTGAGAGAGAATACTCTTGTACAACAAGAAAACTTTAGAGAAAAAGTTCATCACATTGCTCAGCAAGCTCTCAGAGTGATATAACCAGGAGCTATATCAAGTAGGGGCCATTGTTAGGGAGTAACTGCTTTGGGGTTTAGACAATATGGGGTAATCACAATTTTAGGTCCCTGGGCCACCCTGCCACAGTGATTGGGTGTAAGTTAGTGTTCTACAGTCTCAGGTAGGAAGAGTGACTGACACAAACATGCTGAAAGCATCAAATTGTACTGGAAGGATAGAGGTCTTATTGGTAAGTGGTCCCAATATCTGTGAAGAAGAGCAATACCAGGCACATGTGGTTACACAATGGGACCAGGTCTGAGAACTCAGAGACAGCATATGGCGATTCATGGCATTCCCATGTCACCTATCCAGGGTTTCCACTATTTTCCACATGCTTTCCAGGAATTCACCATGGCTAGGACCCTTAGCACACCCCAATGGGCACCACCTAGAGGCATCTGGGGCAAATGTGTGCCTACCTGTTGGGTCTGAAAACCA